CACCATCTGTACCGACTGTTTGGTTCACCACAAACACCATCTGTACCGACTGTTTGGTTCACCACAAACACCATCTGTACCGACTGGTTCACCACGAACACCATCTGTACCGACTGGTTCACCACGAACACCATCTGTACCGACTGTTGGGTTCACCACAAACACCATCTGTACCGACTGTTGGGTTCACCACAAACACAATCTGTACCGACTGTTGGGTTCACCAAAAACACCATCTGTACCGACTGTTGGGTTCACCACAAACACCATCTGTACCGACTGCACTGGGTGGAGCTGTCTTGCTGGATTAAGTTAAACCTGGTTGATGGTCCGTGAGAAGTGAGACACTGTGTCTTGCCGATAAGGTCGCATGATGAAAATAACATATTTTCTTCTTTCTGCCTCTGCAGAGACCCCATCTTCTATGTTACTATTGTTTTGCAGGGTCATGCGCCAAGTTTTGTATGATTGGTCAGAGCCTTGTGTTGATGAAAAGTGTACTGCAGTGGGACAACCTACCAGGGGTTTTTACAAAGAAGAACTTCTCACATCAGTGTGATCCAAAGTCTTATAAAGTAAAACCAGCCTTTTAAGCACCTTTTCCACTAGTGCCTCTACAGCACGGTTCGGCTTGGCTCAGCACAGTTCCAAGCCTTTTCCATTATCCAGTATTCATGGAATCGACCCTATTTTTAGTGCCAACTCCATTGCGGTTCTAACCGTACCGTGCTGGCCTTAAAATGCGACATCAAAACACTGTCAGTCACTGATTGGTTGGGGGTGGAGTCACCGGTTGTGTCTGATAAACAATAACTTAATAATTCATAAACTATTATCATAATTTTACTTACCAAAGTCATGCCACTGACATTATATTACAATTTGTAAGGTTTCATAATTTGTAAATATTCATGGGGACCAAAATATACTAGCTGTTATGAATTCAACAAAAAACTTTTTTATGCTTTAAGACCAAATTTAAATTGAATGTTTTCAAATCTACAGCTGCTGGAGGCTACGTTTCTGTGACGACAGCACTGTGGGATTTCTTTTGAAATTTTAACGTACACCTTGTCTTATTGCATTATCTGTAAATAACAAAAGTCAAGTGATTTTTAAAACATCTTTATTATCCAACATCTTTAAGCTGTGCAACCACGGCACGTTTGAAAAACCAGGAACATTGGGCCTCATGCAAGAACATGTTCGTATTCTTATCCTAAATTTCTCTTACTTTTGTTCGTACAAAGGGTTCGTACGAACATGTCACGT